TAAAGTTCTGAATGTAATTTAAAGCAAAATAGAAAGAATTAATAGAATCTCCTTTTATGAAGGTAAAGTACAACAAAGGCAAAGAAATCCACTCAAACTTTTTATATCTCAGTTGAAAGCATCTGCAGACATTTTTTCAGATTTACACAATGGTAAAAAAATAATACAGGAAGTGTGATTTCTTTATTTGTTAAGTTTATTAAATAGAACCAGTTGCACATTTAGCTGAACAAGGAAGATGTTGAAACGTCTCATACGCACACGTTTGAGTTTAGAAAAGCAGAAGTGGAATCGGAAGACGTTGGATGAGGATCTGAAAGTACCGGAGGAAAACATGTTCAGTTGAGTCTGTGTCTCTTATCTCTGTTTAATTTCTCCTCCCTCCTGCACCAGAGGAGCACAGAGATATATTTATAGTATCTCCTGCACGCCTGTGTCTGAGAGCGTGTATATTTAGCCTGGTGGGCTCTGAGCCCCCAGCTGGCTTTATTCTGTTAGTGTGGGAACGGCATCTCGCTGAGTGGAGTTACAAACTTCCACATTTATTCTGTTTCCACGGACTTTAAAAGCAAATATGTTTTATTTGTGYGTGCTTTTCCCAGGAACTGATGAGCAGGACCTCTCTGGAGACTCAGAAGTTGGATCTGATTGATGAAGTGTCCTGCCTGAAGCTAAAGCTGGTCAGCATGGAGGAGAATCGCACTGGCAACCSTCCTCAGGATCCCACGGAGACACAAAACAATAAAGCTGAGGTATGGCTGATTCTGGATCCACATGTTGTTCATTTAAAATACTGGGTTCTCCTGTTAATGTGCTGTTTGGTGTAATGTTAGCATCTCACTTCCTGTTTGTGTGACTCACCTGTTGGCTGGTCGTCCCAGTCAAGGAATATGTGTTTAATGTGTTTTAATGTTAACGAGGTTTGAATCTGCCTGAGGGCAACAGCTAATTGTTTCACAAATATTTAAAAAAAATTAATAATTACAGGTTACGAGAAGGCTGGGATATTAGGCATTATTTTCTAACCCTGCGATATGTATATTGCAATTTAAAAAAAAGTCTATGAATTTTCAAATAAGACTTTAAAGTGCCCGTGACATCAAATTTTGGTATAAACATGAATGTATTTTTGGAAAGATAACATGGATAAYGTAATGCAAAAGAAAGTTTCACCCTGCTGAGATGAACAGTTGTTAAGATATTTGCATGTAAAGTAACAGGAAGTGATGTCAAAGGGGAATGTCTGACCGTGAACAGAGCGTTGCTACAACAACTAACAACACAGACTCTAGAGAAGAATCTGATATTACTTTAGATTTTGAGTYTCCTTCGAGAGATGAAGAAGAATCAGAGTTCAGATTATATAATGTTTCAATAAAAACAGACCAGGAAGTTCCCTTTCTTAAAGAGCTCCCCTTTGATGTCACTTCCTGTTTCAATTTAGCTGAGCCAAATTCAAAAGAACATATGCCTGTTCTGTGACAAAATGGGTAAAATCATGTACAGTATATTATGTCAAGTTTCCTAAATATAAAGATGTTTTCTTTTAGTCTTTGTATTTGAAGGATGTGTACATCACAGGTCCTTTAAGTTCTGCTGCCTTCTTGTTGACGATGAGCCTGCATCGATCTCACCTTCTTTTTGTGTGTGTTACAAGATTTGAGAGTTTTTCTCATTTTCTTTTATTGTGCTTGGACCTGAGTACGTTTCCCTCTATCAACTGCAAACATGAATTGTTTTACCACCTATAAAGTGTAGCCTCTGCTGCTAGCTTAGTTTCCCTCATGCACTAACATTCATGCTGATGGTATTTGACCTCTTCTTCACCAGTTTTCTGCAAATTTGCCCGTCCTCCTCGTGTTTGTCAAGATCCTTGTCATCTTCTCTAAAAAAAAATGTAGCCATTTTTGTCCAAGAGGTTTCACAACAAAATTAATATTTTAGCTTTTATTTTTGACACAGAAGCAACCTGTCAAAATAAAAGCCCTAACTATTTGATRCAATRACTAYGTTTAATTTGCCTCCTACATCACAGGACCAACACGTACATTGTGATGACGTTGCTCAAACAAAATTTCTTCAGATATTTATATCTGCAATAATTTATGTTCCTAACCATGCTCCGATAGGACAGGTATATTTCTCAGACCAGTAAATGTTCTCCCTGATGCCAAAAATGCAGGGGCRGTTCTAGGGGCGGGGCCACAGGGGCATTGGCCCCCAGCTGAAATCTGATTGGCCCCCTGAAGTGCCCCTGTCCTGTCACTCATCTGTCCTTTGCCTGAGATTGGTGATGGTGTGCAGTTCCATGTCCAAACACTAGTGGCGCTAATGAGTCAAATAGGAAAGTCCAGCATGAATCAGTCTTACAGAATTCTTCTCAAGAAAATCTGAACAATCTTGCAGAAAGTCTTTCAACTGACTAATGATGGCTGCATTTTCTCATATGCTGTRCGTTTGAGAGCATTTTATCTACGTACAGTAAAAATACATGTAAAATTGCTAAGGATAATTTACTGTTCAAGCTTTTTTTTTTAATGACATTACGTTACAAGTGTTTGAAAATACTGGTAAAATGTATACAYCTTACCAAAACCAGGGATTTAAATGCAAGGATGCTGAAAAAATACGTGGCCCCTCTATGAATATTGTGCCCCCTTGATTGCCCCTTACTGAGAAAAATCCTGGATCTGCCACTGCAAAAATGTAAAAAAAAAAAAGTTGAATTGATTAGAAGACCAAACTGGTTCCCAGAGTTCATAATCTGGTGTTTTGTGCCAAGTATAACTGGAGAAAAGAAAACAAGTTTTATTTGTGTTTGAAACTCGAGAAACCAAAACTTTAAGGTTGTTGTCTTCCAATCAACACATCAGACACACAAAGGGCATTTCTCACAGTTGTWGGCCAACATTGGGTGAAATCTAAGCTCTTCTCAGGTGATAAAGGACCTCCTGTCCTCATCCCGTGACAAACAATAAGCGTGTGGTAAAAACATCCACGTTTATTAGTGGAGGAAATGATGAAATGAGATCCAAACCTTTGTTCTGGTGCTCTGAAACAAGCCGGGACACATCAGCCTCCACAGACCGTTACAGTGACACCCGTCAGGCGGTGTTCTCACGCAGAGAATAATAAAGCTCGTACACGTGCACTCCAGCTGCGCTTAGGTGGTCTCTGCTTGGGTTTTCATTTCATTTTTGTGAGCGCTTTGTTCATGGTGACAGCCAGCTGCTCCTCTCTGAAGCTGCTGCTGCGGTTTGGCCGTGTGTGGGTGTTTGTGTAACGATACCACGAGGCGTCCAGGAGAAACACCGTACAGCATTTTTGACATGCAGGGGCCCATACTGAGCTCGCAGACTCCCAACAAACGGAGCGCGATAAGAAGAGACGAGGATCAGCATAGAGGAAGGATGAAAAGAAAGAACAACACAGAAAAGATGAGATGATTCGTTAAAGGCTGCTCTGATCTGAAGTAAAACACAAAAACCGCCTTCAAAATAAATGCGAAAATAAGTCGTTTGGATCAAACGTTTCGTTTTTCCTGCTAAGATCTGACTGAGCTGAATCAGTCCGTCCAAACTAAGATGTGCTCACCAAACATTCCCGATCACATACAAGATGTGTGAACTTGTTCCTTCTTTAAATGTTTGTTTGTTTGTTTTTTTTAAATAGAGGACTGGAAAAGYAGTGGGAGAGAGGTTTCAAGTAGACGTGATCCTAAGGTGCCATTTAGACGTCCAACATTTGGCCAAGCTGTGGCCTCAGTCAAAAAATATCATTTTAAAAAATTTAAACGTAACATATGATGCAAAATCCACTTTTCTRGTCTGTAGGAGTGCAGAAAAGTGCTGGTTCAGTATCTTTATGTTCTGTTTGGGTCATATTTGTTTAGATTTAAAGAAAAAGCCTCAAAACGTGTTGATCTTGAGTCACAACAAGGAGGAATTCAGACCAAAGCATTGCAGTTACACTTCGTACAAACTCCAACTGAAGGATTTAAATGTGAAAAAGCTCATCTGCAACAATATTTGAAAGAAAACCAACATTTATTAACCCATGTGTAACTGCAAAATCATTTCTTTTATTATTTTGTACATTTTTCCGACCCATGCGTTAGCTGGTGTGTTCATTTAGTTTTTTTCCAGAGACTACGAATGAGTTCACATGGTTAGGTTTGTCACATTTAAAGSTGTATTCACTTTCATTAGTGTGTAAATCAACAAATAGTTATATAAAGGGTAAAACTTAATAATAACTACAACTTATTTAGACTTAATTAATCATTAATAAAGGGATACTTAACCTTGAAAACATCATTAATTAATTAATTAATTAA